TTAAGGAATGGGCTCTCAAATTGGCCGCCTTTACTGCGTAGTTAGCTTGACCTCGGGTACCGAGAGACGCTTGACTGGTCGTGAGCTATGACTGGAACGTTTTCTCGGTGTTCAGAAAATTATACTAATAATTTGTTAATAAAAAATGAATTCCTTAATTCCAATCAAAGGTGTTAATTATTATTAACCAGCTGAATTAATAACTTAGATCCTCACGACCAAACCCTGGAGGTCTGGAACATTCCTCGGGTGTAACAATCCCCTGGAGGAATTGTTCTCAAAGCTAACAAAATTAATTTAATTAAAACAATTAATTATTAATAAAATATTAGACGAATTGAATTACCAAATTAATTAAAATGAGAAGTAGAATGTTGCGTGAGCCGGGTGTGAACCCCTAGGCTCATCACTACCACAGTCCAATACCTGGTGTTGATTGGTATGAAGAAGCTCCCTGGTTGCTAATGGCTTCCTTCTTGGACTCCTCGATGTTACTTGTTTCAACACTACACCACTTCTCTCGACACAACGCGCTGCTCAGCTATTTAATAGCTCCCCGAAATACCCCCTCCTACTCTCTTTCTAGGGCCGAAGATCGATGCGCCAAAATGCTAGTCGACAAAGTTATCGATCTCTGGCGACTTATCGATTAAGGGTAATTTACCCTGTTACACTCTAATATACTTTTCAACACAAATCGATCAGGCCGTAAATTCCGATGTAATTCGAAATAGATATTTATGTCATAAGGCCGTGAAGTGGCGGTTTTCTGACAGCGACGATATTTCGATATGAGTTTAAGGTTTGTGGCGGGAAGGCCCGAAACGGGCGCAATTTTAACGTCCGAGGCGTAGCCGAAGACGGAAATTTACGCTCGTTTTTGAACATTCGCGTCACAAACATTAAAGCGAATATCGAAAAAAAGTCGTTGTCAAAATCGCCACTAAACGGCCGAATGATATACAATATTTTTTGTTATTATCGCTCCATAAGTTTAACTTTTGAGGGATAGGAGGCAAATAATGACATATTTAAATTTTAGGAAGTTTAGTTTCACAAGGCCAAAAAAAATTAATTTTATATTAATTATCTTTTTAGTAATCTTAAAATCTTGCTTACGTCCAGAAAATGTAAATAACGTTTTATTAGTATTTATTTATGGCGATGTTATTTTATTAACATTAGGTCCGCTTCGTAATAAACTGCCAGCAGAGAAATAATTAGCGCCACTCAATAGTAACTAAGACTAAAAATTATCGGTCGGTACGCTAGAATGTGACTTTTTTTTTTACTAAGAGCCAAAATCAGGATATAGTAGACCACAAATTATTTATGTTTTTCTTTTTATTTATTTTAATTTGCTATGCCTGAACTGTTGAATGATCCATTGGTATATTTACAAACTAATAAGGACCCAACGAGGAAATATCAGGATAAAGTGAATGGAATAATAGCAGTTCTTTTGGAGGAATCGGTGATTTGTGATCAGAAGGCTAGATATTTAAAAGCACACAACACGTTGCCTCCTAGGTTGTATGAGCTTAGGAAAATTCACAAACCAGGATGTAAACTTCGTCCGGTCGTAAGCTGTATCAAGTCGCCGTGTTACAAATTAGCTAAATTTCTCCATGGGTTGTTAACACCACTTATTAACACGTTTGAATTTAACATTCGAAACTCTACAGAAATGGTGAGGTTTATCAATAATACTAGACTGCCTCCTGACTATATCTTGGTTTCACTAGACGTGGTCTCCTTATTCACTAATATACCGAAGGCACTGGTTTTAGAGATTATAAATGAGGAATATGAGACTATTAGAGAATTAGTAAAAGTCTCGAAAGGCAAGTTATGTTCTTTGATAAATGTTTGCTTTAAGACGAGTTATTTTACTTTCAACAACGTTTTTTATCTTCAGTTAGATGGCTCAAGCATGGGAAATCCTGCAAGTCCTGTCTTGGCCAATCTTGTTATGGATTATGTGCTGTGGAAAATTGTTGATAGTCTTCCGTTTCATGTTCCTTTTCTAAAACTTTATATGGATGACACATTACTTGCGATGCCAGGTGACGAGGTGGATGGCCTTTTGGATCATTTCAACAGGTTTCATGAGAAGATCCAGTTCACAATGGAAAGAGAACAGGATGGGGAGCTGGCGTTCTTGGATACAATTGTCATTAGAATGGCTGATGAAGAGTTGAGGACGAAGTGGTTCCAAAAACCGACTAGTTCGGGAAGGTTGCTGAACTTCAATTCTCACCACCCACTTGCCCATAAAACAAGTGTTGCACTAGGTTTAATATATCGGGCGGTGACGTTGAATCACAGTATGTACCACCAAGAAAACCTTAAAAAAGTGCGAGTTATTCTGAAGAGAAATAATTATCCTACTAAGTTCATCGATTGCTGTATTAATAAATTTAAGAGCAAACATATGGATGAAAGGAGGGATAATTTGATAGCTGATAAGCAAGAAAATCGATTCAGGTTCCCTTACATCAGGGGCTTATCGCAAAATATTATGAGATGTTTCAGAGTAACGGATTGGAAACCAGCATTCTATAACATAAAGAAGGCTGGAGACATATTAGATTAGATTAGATTAGTGTTTTATTATGCCAAGGCACAGGCCAAATGGCAAATTCAAAGTACATAGTACAAATATACATTGTTTAAAATTAAATACTTAGTAAGAAATGAGAATACATAACAATAAACATAATTTTAAAGTGTAGAAAACAATATAAAAGTATGAAGTATAAAGTATGAAGTATAAAATATAAAATATAAAATATAAAATATAAAATATAAAATAGATTCAACTCAAAACTCCTATCACTATACAAGAGATCTCACTACAAATTTACTCTGTAACAATTTTTCAATAAATTAGTGATATTATAATTAACAAAAAAAAAAAAAAAGTCCTTTACGATTATAATAATTCTTTTCCGCTTCACAGCATTATTTATATTTGTTAAAAATGCTAGCCGTAAGATGGATGGTGTGGCTTAATGTATATAGAATAAGTGAAAGGAAATTTAGTATAGACCGGATAGCTCAAATGGTAGAGTAGCCGACATGTCTTCGGAAGGTTCTGGGTTCAAATCCCAGTCCGAGCTATCTAATAATTTTTTCTCGCATATTCTATAAACTCACATTAAGATGATCCTCTCCACAATCCTTTCTCAATCCTTTCCTACCAATTATCCTGTTACGTGAGTGTTGGAACGCTTCACGTAATAATTATCCGTAACTCCTATTCTTTCCCGCTTCACAGCATTATTTATATTTGTTAAACATAAATTATGTTAAACATAAACATGTTACTTTCAGAAAATCAAGAGGATACAAAATGTGTATTTAGTATAGAAATAGTTATTTCACAAATAAGATGTTTATTTGTTGCCGTAAGATGGACGGCGGAGTTCATGAAATGGTCCACCTTTACAAGCATGTGATTGTTGTGCAAACATGCTTGTAAATCTACATCTGTAGTACGTTTCTGTTCGTCAGAAACTGTACTTTCAGAAAATCAAGAGGATACAAAGTGTGTATTTAGCGTGTGTATTTAGTGTTCTATATTTAGTATAGAAATAGTTATTTCACAAATAAGATGTTTTTTTTTTGTATGGACAGGGTGTATGGACAGCAACAAAGAAAGTTTATTTCTAATGTATATATAACTCAAATTTGTGACAAATATAACAAATTAATAGCAAATATAAAATTTTTAATGTTATGCTACTAAATACCTACTCCTACAAAATTCCCAGATGTGCTTACAGAGCACTGGGTAGAAGTAAGGTAAGCTAGGCCGAGAAGCACCGCTGTCCATAACATAAAATAACAAATATGGCTTGTTAAATTAATAATCTTAATGATCTAAAGCTGAGCACCATCAGACAATTTATATTAATATTAATAGTCCAAGTTTAATAAATAGTCATAGATTTTACTTTTAAACACTTCCAAGCTGCTTGAATTTACAATTTCACTAGGTAGCTCTTCCCACATCTTTATGACAGAAACCAGAATAGACTTCTCTGAATAAGTTGTTGAATAGTTTGGTAGTTTGAAGCAAGTATGTTTTTTAGCTGAAAGTTTCTCAGATCTTCTGACATCAGTATCTTCAATGAACAGATCACGTAAATACATAGGTTTACCCTCATTCAATAACTTGAAGAAAAAACACACCATGTAATAAAGCCTGCGACATTTGACTGATAACCAACCCAGGTTACGGCGATGTGGAGTGATGTGTTCATTTTTTCGAAGGTTGAAGATGAACCTTATCGAAGAGTTTATTGCACGTTGCAATTTAAGATTATTTTCAGATGTACAATCAATAAGCACTAAGCTGCAATAATCGATAAGGGGTAGAATAGTTGCTGAGACTAGTAGCTTTCAGATTTCTTCAGTGAAGATGTACTTACGGACTTTCAGACTATGAAGTGATGAATTTATTTTCTTGCATATCAATGAAACATGGTTGTTCCAAGATAGGTTATGGCTCAAATTTAATCCCAGACACTTTGCGGAATTGACGTAGGGAATGGCAACACCATCAACTACAATTGGAGGTATCTCGATAAAATCCAATTTTCTCAATTTACTACTTGAGCCTAAAACCATAGCCTTGGTCTTGGTTAAATTTAGTTCTAAACCATGCTCTCTCGCCCAGTTGGCAATTTCTTGAGCATCAGCAGCAACCTGTCCAATGGCTTCATGTATCTGGTAGTTGAAGAAATGCAAATAAATATAAACATCATCAGCAAAAAGCCCATATTTACAGAAGATGATCCGTCTGGCTACTGAATTTATGACTATCAAGAATAAGATTGGTCCAAGGACGGAGCCTTGTGGGACTCCTGTTGTGAGTAGATTTATCGGAATTCCTTGATCACTTGTAATTGATTGTGAACGATTTGATGAGTAGGAGAAGAACCACGCTACTACTTCCAGTGAAAAACCTAGTTCAAATAAGGCAATCAAGATAGTTTTTGGGTCGACATAGTCAAACGCTTTGCTTAAGTCAGATAGAACTAACAAAGTCAGTTTATTGTTATCCATTAAATGTCCGATATCCTCAGTAAGTTTTAGCAAAGCCGTCTGCGTACTATCATTTTTGCGAAACCCTGACTGATACCGGTCAAGCAAGTAGTTATCTTCTAGGTAGGTTGTTATTTGATTTGCAATGATTCTTTCGAAAACTTTTGCCAGATGTGATAGATTAGCAGTAGTTAAACAAGGGGGTTTAGCCTCCAAACACTAGCGCCATCTAGCGGCTGCTACCCGGAACTACGATAAGTTGTGTACCCTCTGTCGGTAATTTTCATGTAATCTTCTTTATCGACTGCTGCGTTTTGGGTCTTATCTACAGTCGGTTTTTTCTTATTGATTGTGTACTTCTATCGATCATTGAAAAGAGGGCGCTAGTTTTGTGGGGCCTTGCGCGAAGGTGGGGATGTATACTTTTGAATTTGATTATTTGCATGGCTTACGATTTGGAGGGGATATTTTTAAATTTTATATGTTATTTTATCAGTTTGTTAATAATAATTCTTATCTAATAACTATTGTTATCTTATCTTATATTAGTCATTGGGTGTATAAACTTTCTATTTTATTATTTAATCAATTTTTGATCTGCATATTGATAGAATTAGTCATGTTTTATAATCAAAAATAAGAATTTTACTCAGATAAGGTGATTATAATAGGATTATCAATTAATTAATCAGCTTATCAAGTGTATTACTTATTTTTTAACAACAAATCACTCATTTTTCTGTGAATTTTATCAAAATATCCCCCTAGTTCAATCAATTTTGGTGGGGGTTTAGGGCAATAAGACCCAACAATACCCACTGCATATCCACAGTTCTAAAAATTTTTCCTTATGTGCAGTAGGTTAACAAATGGTGCTATGTTTGTAGATCAGTTTTTCAAAGTGTTTGGTATCGAATTTCTTATTTAAAATCACGACTTGTTGGATGTTCTCAGAGACTTGACTGTTTGTCCCAACGCACTTCAAGTCATAGACACCCTTGATGAGCTTATCGAATTACTCAAACATTTGAGAAATCATGAAAAGGATATTCTTAAGTCTCGCAGTTGTGTTTATGATGCTATTAACGATTTAGTCTATCCAGATTACATAATTAATGTTGACGACTCAAAACATTCAGACTCTTTTGAATTGTTCACTATTTATTCAACTGCAAGCATCTTCATTCATCAAGCTCGTTAATTTGCTAGATAACAGCTTCAGGAGAATACAAACGCATATTTTCGATATTAATAATTGGAAGCACATAAATAGTACGTGCATTATCTGTTAAGCTTTTTATAACATTTTTTCGCATATCATATGGTGTGGCACCAGTATCCCATTGTATCCCATGTTTGTAACCCTTATAATCGATGGTTTCTGAAACCCACCCTTCATTAGGGTTATCAAACGGCGGTTTAAAGATGTAATATCTGCACTCATATGCTCCTCTATTGATAATATCACCAGAAATATTAATTGAACATAGTTCTTTAACTATAAACTCTTCATCACGTATCTCAAACCCTGTGATATCTAAGATGATCTCCATCTTGTCTATTCCTCCGCTAATCGTTTTTTCAATAGCTCCAATTTTGAAATCTGTTTGATAATTTCCTGTTGAGTCATACGCTCCTTCAGTGTAGATAATTTTATAATGACTGCAATAACTTGAGCAAATTCACGAGCTTGATGAATGAAGATGCTTGCAGTTGAATAAATAGTGAACAATTCAAAAGAGTCTGAATGTTCTGAGTCGTCAACATTAATTATGTAATCTGGATAGACTAAATCGTTAATAGCATCATAAACACAACTGCGAGACTTAAGAATATACTTTTCATGATTTCTCAAATGTTTGAGTAATTCGATAAGCTGATCAAGGGTGTCTATGAGTTGAAGTGTGCTGGGACAAACAGTCAAGTCTCTGAGATCATCCAACAAGTCGTGATTTTGAATAAGAAATTCGATACCAAACACTTTGAAAAACTGATCTACAAACATAGCACCATTTGTTAACCTACTGCACATAAGGAAAAATTTTTAGAACTGTGGATATGCAGTGGGTATTGTTGGGTCTTATAGCCCTAAACCTCCACCAAAATTGATTGAACTAGGGGGAAATTTTGATAAAATTCACAGAAAAGTGAGTGATTTGTTGTTAAAAAATGAGTAATACACTTGATAAGCTGATTAATTAATTGATAATCCTATTATAATCACCTTATCTGATTAAAATTCTCATTTTTGATTATAAAACATGACTAATTCTATCAATATGCAGATCAAAAATTGATTAAATAATAAAATAGAAAGTTTATACACTCAATGACTAATATAAGATAAGATAACAATAGTTATTAGATAAGAATTATTATTAACAAACTGATAAAATAACATATAAAATTTAAAAATATCCCCTCCAAATCGTAAGCCATGCAAATAATCAAATTCAAAAGTATACATCCCCACCTTCGCGCAAGGCCCCACAAAACTAGCGCCCTCTTTTCAATGATCGATAGAAGCACTCAATCAATAAGAAA